TCTTAGTGTTTCTCAGCTCTATCAGACCTAGCCACTCCCTTTTAGAAGAAGCATTTTGAAACTTACCATTCTCTATTCTTAAATGAAAGTCTTATACCACTAACTGTAACCCCAATATGTAGACTGGTCCAGATAGAAGCTGTATTCTCCTCCTTCCCTTTGCCACTGGGTGTGGCCATATTACTAAATTTTGCCAATGGGATGTCAGAGAAATGACATATGCAGCTTCAAGTTCATGTTTTCTTGTTCACCTAATTGTTTGCACTCCTCTTCCACTTTACCTCTTTTCATGGGCCAGAATGTAGATGTGATAATGCAATCACCTTTTGACCATATTGATTAGGACCAATCTGGGGGTTGGCATAACAATAAAACAGAAAAAACTTGGGAGTCTAAATGATCTTGTGGGGCAAAGCCTCTTCCAACCCTGGATCATTGGCCCACATTTGGTCAGGTATACAATAAAGAGACAGATAAACTTCTGTCTTGTAGGACTCCCTGTAATTTGGAGTCTCCTTGTTACAGCAATTGTAGCCTGTAACATAATTAATATATCTGACTACATGAATAATTTCAAAATACTATAACTGTAATATAAAAGAGAAATAAAATATATTTATAATAAAATAAAAATGCATTTCTATATGTGTATGCTGGAGAAAACTACATTTGAAGACATAATCAGTAAGATAAATGCCAGTCATCCTTATCATGAATAAATAAGTTTGGATAAAGTCAATCTGTACTGGTCTATAGAAAAATGTACCAACAGAAGTAGTGGTGGACATAAGAACAGAAACTACTTTTTTTTTTTTTTTTTACTTATAACTTTATTGTGGACATACTTCACTCATTCTTTTTTAAAAAATATTTTATTTATTTATTTAAGAGAGAGAATGAGAGAGAGCATGAGTGGGGGAGGAGGGGCATAGGGAGAGGGAAAAGCAGACTCCCTGCTGAGCAGGGAGCCCAATGCAGTGCTCTATCCCAGGACCTTGGGATCATGACCTGAGCTGAAGGCAGGCACTTAACCAACTGAGCCACCCAGGTGCCCCATACTTCATTCATTCTTTTATTATTCTTATTAATTTACATATCTGACTTCTAGACTGTAGGAAAGTATCTGCATTTCCTTTTTTTATTTATTTAAGTTTTAGGTAGTTAACATACAGTGCAATATTGGTTTCAGGAGTAGAATTCAGTGATTCATCACTTACATACAACACCCAGGACTCATCATAACAAGTGCCCTCCTAATACCCTTCACCCATCTAGCCCATCCAGCACCCACCTCCCTCCATCAACCCTCGGTTTGTTTTCTATCATTAAGAGTCTTCTATTGCTTGATTCCCTCTCTCCTTTTTTTCTTTTCCCCTTCCCATATGTTTATCTGTTTTCTTTCTTAAATGCCACATATGAGTGAGATCATTCTGAAATACGGCTTTTTGTCTAACATGTTATACTACAGTATTATTGGAGTATAAACATATTCCAATATATATATATATATACACAATAATATAACATATATGCATGCCACATCTTCTTCATTCATTCATCAGTTGATGGACATTTGGACTCCTCCATAGTTTGGCTATTGTTGATAATGCTGCCATAAACATCAGGGTGCATGTGTTCCTTTGAATCTATATTTTTGTATCATTTGGGTAAATACCTAGCAGTGCAATTGCTGGATGGTAGGGTAGTTCTATTTTTAACATTTTGAGGAATCACCATACTGTTATCTAGAGTGGTTCCACCAGTTTGCATTCCCAACAAGAGAATAAACAACAGGTGTTGGCAAGGATGTGAAATTACTTTTAAGTTAAGTAGTAACAGATCAGACATTTTATATAATGAAAGAAAAGAAACTAATCTTCATTGAAAGAGAGATAATATTCCAAAATAAATTATAGATTGCCCAAGCATAGAAAATGAGAAGTATTATATTCTCCCAAATGAGTTTGGCAAAATAATTCCCTATAGGGGAAATAATTCTCTGTGTGCTATGACATGAGATGACCTAGTAACCAGATATCACAGAAATCCCACAACACATCAGGGTCACATTCAGTCTCTAGTACTTGAAAATAATTTGACCATAACTTTTAATACGTGAGGAAGAATGTCTTTTTTTTTTAAGATTTTATTTAATTATTTAGAGAGAGACAGGAAAGAGAGAGTGCAAGTGGGAAGAGGGGCAGAGGGAGAGAGAGAGAATCTCAAGCAGATTCCATGTTGAGTGCGGAGGCTGACACGGGGCTCAACCTCACCACCCTAAGATCATGACTTGAGCTGAAATCAAGAGTTGGACACCCAATCAACTGAGCCACCCAGGTGCCCCAAGGAAGACTATCTTGATAATCTTGATAATAAATTACAAAAAGAAGCAATTTATTACATAAGATGTAATAAATAATTTTAAGGTAGACTTTGGGGACAGTATCAAAGTAAGATTGGAAAACAACAGACTATCTAAAAATAATTTCAATCTGTAGTATTTGTAACAGATTTCTTAGCATTATTCTAAAGTGTTACAAATATATAAAGGGTAGCAATACTATGAAATCTTTCTAATGCTTATTTTTTGAAATTCAAAGAGATCAATACATTTATCTGTCAATTTAGTAATATTTGATTTTAAGACTGTTAAAAGGCATCTCAGATTTCTTGTTTCAGATTTGTAAATGTTTTCCATGGTATCTCAGTAATTGCACTTCTACTCTTTACAGCTAAATATGTAGTTAAATATGTTCCAATATGTTGAATAGAAAATAAGTAAATTATTCAATAATTTCGAGAACAGTGTGTTTATTCCATTTCAGTTTCCTGCTCTATAATAAGGCTTCTAAATTCCTTGGCTTTTTGTCTAACATGTTATACTTCAGTATTATTTTGTATTAAATCACTACACAATTAACAGTTGACCCTTGAACAACACAGGTTTGAACTGCACAGATCCACTTACACACAGATTTTTTACAGTACAGTATTGTATATGTATATTCTCTTCCTTATGATTTTAACATTTCTTTTTCTTTAGCTTACTTTATTGTAAGAATACAGTATATAATACATATAACATACAAAATATGTGTTAATTGTTTATGTTTTTATTACGGCTTTCAGTTGACAATAGGTTATTAGTAGTTAAGTTGTCGGGGAGTCAAATGTTATACATGGGCTTTTGACTGCAGCAGTCAGTGCTCCAACCCTGTGTTGTTCAAGGGTCAACTGTATATTTATAGTTTGTTGAGTCTAGCAGCACATTCAAAAGTCATGCCAAATGCATGACTTTTTGTGATACAGTTTGTTCCATGCATTGCAAGATAGCTAGTTTCCTTACCTTTGCTCAACAAAAAGCCCTGTATTTCCCCAAACCCCTGTAGCCCAAGACACTTCTACAAATTCCTAACACATTCCAAGACACATAGGGAAGTGTCTCTCAAATTATCTGTGTTAAAGGATCAGTTCTTCCCCCAGTATGCCCAAGATCTATACTTCTATACAATTAAAAATAAGTTACTAGGAAAAAAGTGAAATAGAAAATAAATACAAAATATAAGTTCCATTTTATCATTACACTCAACAGACAAAAATGACTCTGTTGAATTACTATACAAGTTTCTAAATGGTTCCTGTCATTTTTTGCTCTTATCTCATTGCAGACCAATAATAAATAGTTCACAGATTAGCTCTGGTCCACGGACCACACTTTAAATAGCACTGTCCTAGAGACAGTAGTACCATATCCATTGAGAATCACTGGTAACAATAAAACAATATATAGAAATGTTAGTTATTATCTTTATCTTTTTTGATTCTAAATATCCTTTAGCAGAGACTAAAATAAACAATTCCACCCACATTAACAATCGTGCACTAGCCCACACGTTCCTGTCTAAATGGTCAGACATACACATAAGTACTATTTCCTTTCCTTTTAAGAGGCAACCTTGTCTTCTATGATATGGAATTCCTCTCTGCAAAGGTGCAACAACATTATTTAGCCAGTGAAAAGTACAGATTACTTTTACGAGTCAAAAAGCAAAAGGGTAAAACAAAATCAGATTTTAAAAGGACTCATGATAAAAATAAATAAATAATACAAAAATAAAAGGACTCATGATATATACATAATCAGAATACAAAAATGATGCTTACCTTGTTGCCTGTCCATCTGTAGGTTTGTGACCAACATTTTTTCTGTTCTGCCAGGTTACATTCAACCTTCCCTGGGCCCACCCTGCACCAACCCCACCATTCAACACAGGAAATACTAGAGGGATAGGCTCTCCTTTCAATCACAATTCTTTTTCTTATGACATCAATATATTATTTGTCTAAAAGAATTTAATTTAAGCATTGGGTCTTTCTCTTTTTAAGTACCGTCCTGTTAAGAATACTGTCACCTGAGGAGAATGTCAAGATTCATCCTATCCCAATCATAGTTTTGACAATAGTTAAACATCTCCCTGCATACAATACACAGAATGACGTGTTAAATTTTTAAAATTCTTTTAAAATGCTATTGACTTTACAAATTTTATTTAAAAAAATCTAGGTTTAGATTGATATAAATGGCTGATCTTATTCTCAACTTCAAGGTAAAGTCCATATTAAGCTGTGGATTTTAATTATTTAAATTTTCCACGAGATTGCACACATTCCAATAACATGGTACACAAAAAATATTTTAGTATATGAGAGTTTTGTATGTGAAATACAATGTAAATAAAAGCAATTGCTAACTTGTTAACTTTAAATTTTTCTACTGTTCTAATTTCTAATAATTCTATAACACTGATATAAGTAGTCATAAATACTAAATTTCTAGTGTCAACCTGAGAACGGAAACACATACTCAACCAACATTTAGAAGAAAAAACTCATTATATGTCATTTTGCTTTTAAATATTAATTCAATTTTCTTTTAAAAATAGCTTTAATCAAATGGAATTTGAAGTCTGCATATTTTATATAATGAAACATGATCTTACCCTTTTCTTGGCTACCACAGCAACTTTGCCATCTGCCTTGGATTTATCTGTAAGATAATGAAGTATGGCTGTTTCAAAAAAATGCCTACACTCCTGTTTAAATAAGTGCAACGTTATACAATTAGAATTTTCTACTTTTCTCATACTGTAATATGTGTTTTTAATGGTTCTTTGATCAAAATGCTAACAAACTCAACTTCCCAGAGTAGAACAAAATAATCCAAAGTAATAGTATTAGGGATTCATATACTTATTTGACAAACCTCCTCCCTTAAATCTAATTAGGTAGATGTTCTCGAGTTAGAATCTAGAGTATCTTATTCTAGGTTCTGGTAAGCTTATGTACTCTCAAGTATATGGGATCTGGAATGAAATCCCAGCGATCTCTACTTGAACATCCACTCCATGCCAGACATGGGATAAAGACTTTACATAGACAATATCTTATTTAAACTTCATGATAATCTTGCAAAGTATGTAGTCCATCACCATTTCACAGCCAAGAAAGTTGAGGCTAAGTACCATGCCTGAGGCCATGCAGTGGGGCCAGACCCATCTGATGGCAAGTCTCTAATCTTTATGTCTGCTGCCTCCATGTGGGATCCCTATGTAACACTCAACAAAAAAGAGGACTACAACCAAATAGAATACAGAAAATTATTTTAAGATTTTATTTTGATATATGCAAACCTGTGTGTGAATTAGTAAAAATTACTGGCAATAACAATTAATAATTGGATTTTTATGGGTTCAATGTTGAATCCCAATTACATGAATTGTACATAAATATTTACTCATACATTTGTTTTATTAACCTTAATATTATGGTAATGAAAAACGAATAGAGCTATGGACATTAGTATTAAGGTTTTAGGATTACATTTAATGTTAAAGAAGAACACATAGAAATTAAATTTATCGGGGCGCCTGGGTGGCTCAGTCGTTAAGCGTCTTCCTTCGGCTCAGGTCATGATCCCAGGGTCCTGGGATCGAGCCCCGCATTGGGCTCCCTGCTCCATGGGAAGCCTGCTTCTCCCTCTCCCTCTCCCACTCCCCCTGCTTGTATTCCTTATCTCTCTGTCTCTCTCTCTGTCAAATAAATAAATAAAATTTTTTAAAAAAGAAAAAAGAAATTAAATTTATCAATATAGGACTATAATTCACAATGAACATGTAAAACTAACAAAAAGAATAAATATCCATGAATATAAGAGTATATAAATGCTTGCTATCTAAAAGCAAACTTTGCAGTAAGAAACAAATTATGGCATAAAACACAGAAATCCAGAGAAGCAGGTTATTATATTTATACTTATAATTAGCTGGCCACATATAAATTGCCCTCTTTCCTATGTTCAGCTGTGTGCTTGGAATAATCCCTTCCTCTGGAATACCCTTTTTCTTCCCACTGATGAATTTACAAGACCATTCACCATCACAGATGATTCCTCCACCTAGGAGAAATAACCATCTCTGTTGCAAAACCACAGCATCCCAGGACACAGAACTTTCCTCCTTGTATTATGGTTAGTTCTATATATGTCTAAGCACTCTGCAAAACTAGAATGTGCCTTAAAGACAGGGACCATGTTTTATATAAAGTAGGTGCTCAATATTTTTTTAATAATTAAAAATGTACATGTATTTTATTCAAAATCTTATATGGATCTGAAATATACATTTTACTTGAACAAACTAATATAATTTATTGGTTAAAATACATATAATATTTACATGGTATAAGTTACTATGCTAGACAGTGTAAGGTATAAAACACTGTATATGTTCTCAGGCCTTTAGTTTCTTTATTGATAAACCAGGAGTAATTAATTATTATCTTATTGGTATATTATGAGATTCAAATAATAGAATATTATATAAAGTTCCTAAAACAATGTCTGGTAGCTAATAGATTATCAACAATGTTCTCTTTCATTTTAGCTAATAAAGACATTCTAGGGATGTGTGTATGTGTGTTTGCGCGTGAGAGAGAGAGAGAGACAGAGAGAGAGAGCTAATCTTTGGAATACTAGTGAAAATAGTTTAGTGATGACACATTTTACTACTGTATCATCTTGTTAAGTGATTCTATCATTCTCCCATTTAAATAATTTGTTTTAGTCTTTTTAACATAGTTGGAAATAAACTGATAAGTAATGATAAAAGAGCAAAGATTATTGAAATTCCATAATTATTTCAAATTTCTAAAAGGGCCCTGATGATAATTACAAGATAGAATAAATTCTATTGTATCTAAAATTTTTTTCTCTTTTCTCTTTTGAAAATCGCTAATAACAATAAAAGCCATGATGAAATATCAACCTGTACCCATAGTTAAAACTGCACAAAAAGGAAACTCAAAAACTAAAACTGGATCCAATGGACCCTGATCATATACTGAGAGTTAATAAAAAAAGAATACAAATTCTCCTCGACATGTACATTATTCTTATGTAAAATTTCCAGTAGGGAGACAATTGCGAACAGAAATAGCCAAACTGCTGTTCAAGGAACTTTTTATGTTGAAAAGTTGCACAACCTGGTGCAACATAGAAGTGTTTTGGGGAGTATCAACAACGACTCTGATTTTCAAAGGGATTTGCCAAAGGGAGAAAGTCTGATGTAATGCTGAGAAACATTACAATCATTAGCAATTTTTCTATTAATAACAGTAAATCCATGTTCAACTTCAACATTAAACACTTTCTAAGAGCTGAATTTTCCCTAGTGAGAAAAGTTTAATTTCCTCCCTTCAGAAATCTCTGCATGTAGGGACCCTCACACAGAGTGAAAAGCAGTTAACAGGAAATGTAGATTTGGATAATTAAAAGGGCCTTTACTCCACTTCTGGGCTATATCCACATCATAGTTTTAAAGTGCGAAAGAGGAGTGGCAGGTAGAAAATGAAAATGTTCCAAGTCAATAGAGGTGGTTATGCCTCATGACTCATAACAGATGTTAAAAATTTTTTATTTATAAGCATTTTAGAGAGGAGTACAAATATTAACATAAATCAATGGCTTCTTTTTTTTTAAGACATATATTTTTAAAGCCCGTCCATTTATGGCCTCAGAAAATCTGTCAGTCTATGCTTCTTTAGAAATGACAGCTGAAAGAAAGCATTTTCTTAAAAAGGTAGAGGATAGGTCCACTTTCCTATCTGGCATGTAAAGAGCTTAGAAGTCACATTCCATCCTCACAACAAATAAAAAGCTGAACAAATTGAAAATCAATAACTCTTCTTAGATCCCTTAGAGAAGTGAGGTCACAGGGCAAACCACTGCCCCCAAATTTGGAGAGACAGGTGAATACAAAGAATCACAACTTAATGGAGCAGAAACCTTCACAGGAACTAGCGCTGGGGTAGGAACACCTGAACTGTAATTGACGAATTGCTGGAGCCTCAGTGTGAACAAGCTGAGAGAGAGAAATTCTAGGGGGACCCAGTCATGCAGGAGGCAAGCACACTTTTGTTGAGTTTACCTACACGAGCTCTATCAGGTTCTCACAGTGAAGACTGGAGAAAAATACCTTTGTGCTTCCTCAGTGGAGGAAAAAAAAAGTAACCATTTTGAAATATGCCAGGGCATTCAGTTCTTAGCAGTTTGCCCTCAAGATAAACTATTTTACCAGAGCCTCACCTATTGTGGTTTTTTTAGAGCCTAACCAATTAGCGGGAAGGGAACAAATCTAAAAAGAATGAGAAGCACTTGTGCAGCTCAAAGCCCAGGACTGAGACCTAAGCATAGAGCTAGAGACTGCCCTCCCTAGCCCCACATGCCTTACCACTACACTACTAAAGGCCTATTTACCACAGTTCCTTCTACCTGGTACATCATGTTTGCCTTTCTGCAAAAAATTACGAGGCATACTAAAAGGCAAAAACAATTTGAAGTGACAGAGTAAGCATCAAAAACAGACCTATATATGTCAGAGATGTTGGATGATCAGACTGTGAATTTAAAACAACTATGTTGAATATACTAAGGCTCTAGTGTTAAAAGTAGGCAACATTCAGGAACAAATGGGTACTGGAAGCAGAGAGATGGAAATTTTTTTTTTAAAGATTTTATTTATTTGAGAGAGAGAGCGAGCTTGAGCACAAGTGGGGTGGGAGCAGAGGTGGAAAGAGAGGGAGAAGCAACCTCCCCATTGAACAGGGAGCCCAATGCGGGGCTCTATTTCAGGACCCTGAGACCATGACCCAAGCCAAAGGCAGACGCTTAACTGACTGAGCCACCCAGGTGCCCCAGAGAGATAGAAATTCTAAGAAATAATAATAAAAAAAGAAATGCTGGAGTTTAAAAATGCTGTAACAGAAATGAAAAATACCTTTGATAGTTTCATCAGTAGACTGGACACAGCTGAGGAAAGAATCTGTGTGCTTGATGATGTATTAATAGAAACTTCTAAAACTGAAAAGCAAAGAGAAAAAAAGACTGGAAAAAAAACCAGAATATTCAAGATCTATGGGAAATCCACAAAAGGATAATATATGTGTAATGGAAATACAAGAAGGAGAAGAAATAGACAAAGGAACGGAGAGATATTTGAAGCAATAATGACTGAGACATTCCCCCAAATCAATGTCAGACACCAAATCAAGATCGAGGAAGCCCAGAGAACAATAAGCAGGATAAAAGCTAAAGATAGAAAATCAAAGATAAAGTAAAATTGTTGAAAGAAGCCTGGTGGTAGGAGGTGCCTTATCAATAAAGGAGCAAAGACAAGAATTTCATTCAATTCCGCTCAGAAACCATGCAAGCAAGAGGAGAGTGGAGTGAAATAATTAGTGGTAAGAGAAAAAACACCAAATTACAATTCTGTCCTTCAAAAATAAACGGTTATATACTTGAGAGAATTGGAGAAATTGATTTGTTACCAGTAGACTTACACTGCAAGAAATATTAAAAGAGAAGGAAAATGATGTAGAGCAGAAACTTGGATTGACATAAAGAAAGGAAGAGCATCAGAGAATGGCTAAGTGAAGGTAAAATATAAACTTTAAATTGTCTTATTCTTTAACTGAAAACAATTTGTTCAAAAT